CCACCACCACCACCACCACCATCCACCCAACCACCACCACCACCAGTACAATAACCTCATAGCACACAGCAGGATGTTCCATAGGGTTTCCAAGGTGTGAGCTTGACCCACCAACTCTGGGGCCAACAGCCAGGTACAAACTGGGCTCCTTTTCAGTTCAGAATCAACTCCACTGCGTGTTTGGTTTTGGTACCTTAGAGCTAGCCTTTCTCGCGTGGCCCTGGGTGCTGCTGCTGCTGCTGCTGCTCCTGCCCCACGTCTTCAGCACACACTGGTCTCAGCTGTGTGGGAGGACCTCCATGGTGTGGCCCCAATATTGCAGGGAAAAGGAGCCTGCGTGATGCAGATAGCTAAGTGCTTGTCTGCTGGCGGAAAGCTAGAGGTTGAAACCCTCCAGAGGCCTTTTGGAAGACGGGCCTGCTGAAGACAGCTTTGAGACGTCCGCAGCGGGCTCCTGTTTTGCATACAGGGGGTCACCATGAATCAGAATCAACCTGATGGCAACTGACAACATTTGCTGGGAGCATGGTTTGAGCAAACGTGGTCTCAGGACATGAGCTCTGGTTTTCAGGGGGCGTAGACAGTGGAGAGACTTGTCCTGGAGATTAGGAAATCTATCTCAGCCACCCCATCCTACTCTGCATGAATTAGGGACTCCTGCCTGAGACTGTTTGTGGGTGCAGAGAAAGGAAAGTGATTTTTTGTTTGTCTTACTGCTCTTTGAAATTCTACATCCAAAGGTTGCTGTTGTGTGTAATCATGTTAGTATAGAACGTGGCGTCCCCTCCCTGGAGGGAGCAAACATTTAAGCACTTGTTGGCTAACTGGAAAGGTGGATGCATGTTTGAGATCACCCAGAGGTCCCTCAGAAGAAATGCCTGGTGATAGACACTCGCAAAATCCACCCAGGGTCCCCCTGCTGACCCACCTGGTGTCGCCATCAGTTGGAGTCAACTTGATCATGTCAGGTGATTATGTAATGCTCTTCTTTTTCTAGTAGAGAACATTTGTGATATTAAAGTTTACAGACTTTTCTGTTTTGTTGCTTTCTACTATCCCCCTCCGGTAATCACCTTACCAGATTTAAAATGTGAAGCGTTAACAAAAGTCTTCACTCTGAGACTTCTTGTTCATCCTGGAGACCCTGGTCTTCCCAGAGGCAAATTCTTACTACACCTTCCCTTAACAGCTTTTGGGCGCTGCTCACCACTGCCTTCCTTGCCTTCCCGGTGGAAGAGTAGCCACTTGCAGTACACCTTGGGAGGGAAAAAAAGCGGAAATCATTCGCAGATGTTAAACTGAAACATGTTTCTGATGGAAAGCATGACAAGAATGTATACATGAAAGTGCCTGGGGGCTTGGGGCGGGGTGGTGATATCTGGCAGGGGCTCAGCTTCCAGAGCTGGGGCCTCACTAGTGGGCGCTTCTGTTCTCTCGGGGTGGAGCGCGTCGCCATTCCTGTGACATTCCGTTAGTAGCCTGCTCAGTGGGGACCCAGCGGGTTCAGATCACCGGCAACGCTGGCTTGGTAGTGCAGGAAAGCTCTCCTGAGTTAGAATCCTCCGCTCCACATGCTCCTGGCTCTTGAATTTGAATTCTACAAACATCATATGGGAAGGGTGTGGGGGGGACAAGCAGCTAGTGCCCTCTCTTTGCCCCCAACACTCACCCTGAAGGAGGCCAAGGTCACTCAGGGAGCAGCTGACTGACTATATATATAAAGTATCTTTATATGTATAGAAAATATCTTTTAAATATATATACATACACATTCTCTCTCTGGATGTGTGTGTACAATAGCTTTCTTAACTTTCAAACACTAGCCTCTGGTCTTCCACTGGAGGGCCATTATTTCCTTATCATTATTTGCTGTAACTAATAGGAACCATATT